TTTATATTCATCTGGTATGAATAGACAAAGTGACAAGGCGTACAATTCATAGAAACTCAAACGATGTCCTACATCTTCCAAGCTGGGAGTTTGTTGTGACTGTGATTCATCACCAACTTATCGCATATATCAAAGTTGTTAAATGTGTACTTCTTTTTGTCTCTTCCCACGAAATTGGACTATGTAACCTTCAATTTCTCGACATATATCTAGATCGCAACACCACAAAAAAAAAACTCAGGTTAAACAATGTAAAGATACTACATATTGTTGCTTACCTCGATTTTTTTATCATTACTTCGTTGCCAACGTCAAACAGATCTTTAACGTACAACATGCATATTAAAAAACAACTCATTCTAAACCAGCCCAAACACTTATGTGATGTTATAGGCGTTAATGCCAAACACCGCAATATATTTTACTTCACCCGGTCGTAGTAACGGAATCGAAAATGCAAGAAACAGAATCCCAAACACTATACTGAATATAGTACTTATTATTTTCAACGATGCGTATATGTGTTTTAGTGACACGAGAAGTAATTTATATCATTTGAAAGAATACACCTGAAAAATATAATATCATGATTTCAATATATAAAAGACATACATGTTTGTGCATAATTGAATGTCTTTAGCGATTATAAAATTACCATCCATTCGTATAGAATTATGAAACTGATTTTGATATTCTCATCTTCCTCATATGCTTTTCAGAAGAGGTTCAAAGTCTTCAAAGCCTCACGTCTAAAAGGAATCGTCTAAGATCTTCCAAATAAATGAACCTAAAATAGAATTTGAACCATCATTTCTTTCAAAATATACATACGATAAAAGACCAAATGCCATAAGAATACCAAAAATGATGATGAAAGGTATACTAATGTATATATAGTTATCAATAAATAACCTTTGTTATGGACTTTCATGTTCTAACTAATATATAATCTTATTAGTTGATGAAGAATAAAATATTCATATGGAAGAAAATATATAATTCAAGTACTTTTACTACTACATCCATAACAATTTTTTTCTTTTTGAAAAATTTGGAATAATTGTTTTCAAGCAAAAC